TTTTTATATGTTCATGATTATTGTAGTGCGCGGATACAGTAATTGTGATTGTCGAGGCCTTGGCGTCTATTACAGCCTCTTTGTAGAATGCATGTCCAGTCATAGTTTTTAAAGAAACCTTTCGTGAACGAACACGAAGGATTGTGGTGAAGGAAAGAACAGATGACTGCTATATGAATACTATATTTCTAGACCCGACGTAGCAATGAAAAACAATTATAATCAGAGACAGCTCATTCGGTGGCGAGTTTTGGACAAACAGACATCTCGACGAATTTACAACTGCTTTTTTACCTTTACTTTTTGATTAAAGATTGTATAAAAAGTGGTTGTGTTTTGGAAACTCTTCCTAAGATAATAATTTTTAGTCTATATTTAGCATTTGTGCAACTCTTTATTTACTATAAGTTTACTAGCAATTTTTTTAACGTAACGTGCTGTACAAATGCAACGCAATCCTTCATGAATAAGAGTTTACGCGCTCAAGTTTGAAAGTCACATACCAAATCAAACGATCAAAGAAGTAATAACAAAGAAAGGCTAAGTATATTACTAACTGACAAACTTCTGTACCAGATTATCGACCTAAAACTGGGAACTTTATAATACCGAGCAAGTCTATTAAAGTCAAGCTGACGACACTACAAGAGCAAATTTTCAAAACCCTTAGCATCATTAAAATACTCTGATAAATACACTAATGTTCACTTATAATAGCTTCTTTATTACCTGCAGTATCAGAGATCTCATCACTGCAATTTCAAAACTTCTTGATAAAAATTTTAGTTGACAATTATTTTTGACAGAACAAAGCGTCTAACTAAGTTTTTTAATACAAAAAGATAAAATATACAGAATTAGGGAACTACATTTTGCTACAAATTATACCCCCAAACGAGCGTCGTTTTATGAAGATGTTGTTCAAAACAAAACTAATTGAACTTAACTCTTATCTAGGTAATAAATGTTGCTTCTGCATACAATTATTTTTGGATAAATAACATGGCTTTCAGTACTAACAGCTCAGCTTTTGAACACTGGTAATATAGACATCTTTTCAAGAATGCTTGTAAGAATACTTTTTGCATGTCTAGAGCAACCGTGGTCTCTCGTTTTGATAAGTGGCTGTTTCTAGAACGATTTATTCAGAATCATTTCAAAGGACTATTTAAAACAATTCATCGACAGCGATATGTATTAATGGCAAAAGCTACATTTACTATCTTCTGTAGTTCGTAATATTGCTGTTATTAATTACCGCGTTACCGTAAATAACTCATTACTGTTTTTAATTCAAATTTTATTTTTAAGTTGCTTTTATTTCTTGGTATATTATCTATGAAACATAAGAACAATAATTTTAAACAATCAGCACACTCGATTTTTAAATTCTTCTACTGATGTTTTACTTTGAATAACTATATTATTTCTCCTTCGTTTTTACTAGTGAGCTAACCTCCTAGTAATCTGTTTGAAAGACGGAAGAAGAAAGAAGCGTAATATTTTAAAATTGGTTAAGCGCTTATAGTAAATAAAAAAATGCTTAATTTATTTTAAAAATTTACCAAAAAAGTTAATAAATGTTCAACATTCAAAATCGGGTTCAGTCAAGTAATAAATCTCTGAAGTGTATCACACACTTATACGAGGTCAAAAGTGTCAGCCAGTTAGCATCAAACAAACTCTTTATTACTTCAGTAAGAAATGCTATAGCTGCATAAAGAAAATAATTTATCAAAAAAAATGTACCGTTTACTTTTACAGTTTATTACAGAAACTGTTCGAGGTGAAAATTTTTAGTTGTGATTCAAATAACTACAATTTTTTACTGCTTTCAGCACCTAAAATTAATTCAAAACAAACTTCTTTTGCTGACCTAAAAAACTGAAATATGCTTTATTAAATAGCAATATTTACTTTAAACTACTGAATAAGAAAAACATGAAATTTAGCAGTGTGTTAGGTGTATTATAATGTTCCAGAAGCTGTATTTTATTTATTTATTTTTATTAAGTTCTTGAGACTCTAAAACTTCGTTAGACTTTTTAGTGCAATTTTAGTTGTGATTTG